AGAAAAGGTCTCTATGATTGTTCACTACCAGACAGATGTCTAGCACTTATATTTGCTACACCCAGCTGAGCAATCTGTACACTGAGGCAGTAGGATCATGCTTATCATCCCACCTGAGTTAAGCACCAGGAGAGCACATGAAACACTAACAGTGTCTCTCTAGCCATATAAAAGTACTAGAAATACCATTTGGTCAACATTTATATAGATATTTAAATGCAAGATGCATTATTCTAAAGCATGTGGAACTATTTTTCCCCATGGGGAAAAACTGAAAATAAAGTGCACATGTGCACACATTTTTAAAGTTCTGAGTGTCTCTGCTTTGCTTATTCACGTACAAGGCACACAAAACACTCACACAAAAGATGCTGGCAAAGCACTCAAACTTTCAACTTAACAAAACATATCAAATTGAAGGGAACATCTATCTCCACATGGACTAATGAAACAAAAACTACTTGAGTTCAAAGGTCATGCTAGCTAGAGCATTTTGTACCAAATCTCCCCAAGCCATAACCATGTTTCCACAATAAGACCAGGAAATAACTGAGTGTATCTACGCATTGTAAACAGCTACTTTAACAAGATGACAGAGACGATTTTGTTGGAAATAAGTTCATAAAGCCTTACTACTCACTTCTTACAGTATTCACTTGGCCCAGAAAAACCTGAAATTTTTAGAGCAGTCACCACAAACTCTGCTTCTAAATTGCTGGCAGTAATAAATAAAAAGGAGGAGGTTTTGATTATCAGCAATTTGAATGGAAATGTGAAACCAGAAATATTCTACCATCTAAATTCCTTATGTCAATATTATGTCCACTACCTTTGATTTAATTTATTTTGCAGAGTTACTGTACTGAGCTTCTTTGGCTCATTTGTAAAAACTGATGTGAATGACTGGACAGCAGTTTAAAGAAATTACTCCACACCAGGCAAGGGGCTCTTGCTCAATTTAATTTTTAAAGGGAAAAATGAGATCAAAGTAAGACTAAATTCCCTTGGAAACATGAGGAAAGCTCCAGAGATATTACTAACATTCCTAGGCCAAAGGAGCTGTTTCTGTGGTGGATATAGCAACAGCAACTTGGCCGATTATCCCTGCAACAGTTTCAGTATACAAATCCAATTTCATGAAGATTGTTCACTCATATTTACTAAGACAAATGTTTTCAGTCTATTAGTTTTGATTAAGCAAATCTGTTTTCAAGAACTGCCTAGAAACCAACTGAATGCTTCCATCAAAAGGACAGCATAATCTCTTTTCTTGTTTTCAGTATGTGAAGATTTCCTTGCACTAAAATGTTTCTGCTAAGTTGTAGCATGCCTGGTTTTCCACAGTCAGCGAGACAAACACTTCTACACACTCCAGGAAAAAACAATACTAAATTAGCTGAAGAAATGCAAAATTATTATATGAACATAGAAGGAAAGATGTATGTGTATCAGTGTATGATATATATATACATATACATAAACATATATATAGATATGTATGTATATATAAAAGAGACAAGTACCGTTTAACTTTAATTAAGAGGAAACAGTTTTAAATAACAGGTTTAAATAACAGGAAACAATTCTACAATGCACCTTTCAAATATACAATTTGAAAATTATATATTTAATTTATATATAATTATATATATATTCAAAAATTCTATATATAAAAGATTATATATATAAATTTATATATATAAAATTATATATATAAATTCAAAAATTCAATGCAGAGGATGTAAAATTTGGGAAATTTTAAGAAAGAATTGAAGACACCAGCTTATAATTTTGAGGAAAAGCATTACTACTGGTTTTTTTTGTGATGAACACAAAGGGTATTTCAACTTGACAGCTCTTCCTCTGCTTCAATGCAAGGTCCGCCTGTAGCAGGGAAACAAAACCTAATTTGTGGGCTCAAAATTACCAGCTGATCAAAGCTCACAATGTAACACTGAGAATACAAAGTTTCTTCTGCCCTGAATAAATTTGCATAATTGACAGAATTTAGATTGGCTCAATTACACAAACAGACACATACTCTTCTGATGCATTTCATCATCTAGCTTCATACTGACAGTGATGGAATAAAAATGTATGTGCCCAAAGTTAACTGTGTACTAACATTTCCTTCAGACTGAATTTTAACCCCTTCTCTCTCTTTCTGGAACTTCATTTCCATTAGCAGAGGAAATGTTCTTCTCATGATAAGTCAGTATCAGTAGCGTGCTGTAAAAATTACTTCAGTTTAATTCAAACTTAGCATTATTTTCCTTGGGGCATGGGATCAGTTATGAATAATTCACTTACCAGTACCTTATTAAGGGCACATGATATAACATATACTGCACTGTAGTAAAAAGTGATGCCAACAGTCAGGTGAAAATACAGATTAGATTTTAAAGTAGAATACAAAGTTATAGGAAACATGTTCACGCATTCTGTTAAGGCCACTAGGTAATTAGTAAAAAATTTATCTTATTTCTCCAGGACTGGGGGAAGAAATATTTTTCTTTAACTTGAGCTATTAGTACCTACTTTTTACAGCAGAAATCCATCAAAGCAAGAAAAAAAGCAGCACAGTTCTAACAAAGTAAGTCACAAAACCCCAACACTTTGTTCAACTTTTTAAGTTCAACTTGAAAATACATGGAAAATTTTTAGATTGGCATATTAAAAGAATCACTTAAAAACCTAGTGTTTTAGTGATATGTATCATACATTGTGCACAACATCATTAGCTTGACTTTGAAAGCCACATTTTGTGCAATTCACATGCTTTTTGTATTTTACATTTACCTGTAATAGTAATGCATGCAATAAAGTACAAAGTCATTATATTTTTAGTATCTTGGTTTATTTTTGTTATGGTTTTGCTAGACATGGTATCGATGCATAGTTGGATACATCAGTGAATTTGAAATGCACACGGAATACTGGTAAGGAATTGTTGGGCAATTCACCTGTAGCAGGCAGGTGTTGGGTGAGCAGGTGTAGCAGGATGCTCTGCCTGGATGGCAGTGAAACAGCTGGAATAACGCCCTGTTTGCAAAGCTACCAGTGGTGAATGGAGGAAGGGGTTGTCCTGGTGCTTTTGGTGCTGAATAATGCTGAAAGCAGCCTGACTCATCAACCCCAGAGTTAAACACTCCTGACAGAAAGGTGAACCTGTGGCAGAGCTGGTAAGGTACCAGATAAAGCAACAAACAAGTGGTACTACTAACTTATCTAAAGATGCTGAGCTGACACAGCTGGCCTGGAAACACAGGGCCCACTCCCACTTTTTAATGAGTGGGGAGAGTCTTCCAACAATCCCCTTTCTGGAGATTCCTTCCTTGAGTTGGGATTTGCCTCAAGGCTACCCTTCAAAGCTAAGAGAAAGAGATTTGCCCACAGTCATCAGTATGGGTGGGTAAAATCAATCTCTACTTCATAATTTCTTTCACTGCCTTTGATATAATTGCTTCAATATTGCTTCAAAAATAGTGGACTGAACTAGACTAGTAGTCATAGCTACTTATACTGTGTAGTAAATAATTCTTTTAAAGATCTTTTAGTCTCATCATTATCATAGAAAATTTTAACCCTAATAATAACACTAATTTATTTTTATGTAAGTACCTCTGGTTTGTCATCCTTAATCCTGTGGGACAAAGCTGTGAAAAGGTTCAATAATGGCTATTTAATCCATTAACATAAACCATTGACAGGGTGTGGGGCTGAGGCTGGATCCAGCTGCACCCAGAGGCCTCTATGAGGTGTTTAGAAAGCAAGAGGGTCCTGTCTGTGCCTCGTGACTCAACAGGGGGCTCCTCTATAATCTCTGTAGCTCCCACTCTGCCCACAACACACAGACACACAGGCTGAAACAAACACCTAACTTCCCCTTTGTACCCTACCCTGGCTACCCACAAATTACAGCAGCACATGCCATGTGTCAGGTTACCTTGAACAGCTGCTGATGGCCTCAGTGAAAGCTGCCTAAATGTCAGGCTGAGGTGACAGACTGCCATGTCTGTCTGGAGGGAGAGAAGTCATGGTACAAAGTACTTGCTATTTTCCTTAATATGTGTCTGAGTTCAAGCGGGGTTCACCTATTGCTGTAGTAGAACTGGTGTAAGAACACGCTGGAAAAAATGGTGTTTTGAAATTCAGCTCAAAGCTACTGTGAACGCTCACACAGAAATATCGAGACATAAAGAGAATTAAAATACGTAGTTTTAAAGAGAATGAAAATACGTAGTTTTAAATTACTGAATATGTACCCATTAAATGGTCCTTAAACATAGCTAGAACAGTACAGTACTGATTTTAAGGACTGTGGGTAGACCTAATTACCAGAAACACTACAGCTACAGTCTGAAAGTGAGAAAGTGTAATTCTACACCTTGTTCCTATTATACATTTCCCTTTGCAAAAAATCTGGATAAAGCACAAAATTATACAAACTTTATACCATGAAACAAGAATAGAGAAAATTTTCTACACAGGTTTCAGTGTTCACCCCTTGCACAAAACTTATTCATTATTGGCGTTTCATAGCCTGTACTATAAAATACAGGATAGAAGTAAATGAATGAGCAATGCTCCTCTAGTAAACCATCATGCTTTTGGATAAAAGCCAGTTTTGATCTGAACTTCTAAAGCAAGACATTTCTTATGCTGTTTCTGGAAAACTCTAAAGGAAAGAAATTCACAGCATGAGGATAAACCTCTAAGGAATGTTTTGCTCTTCCAATTTTCTTTCCAACAAAGAAACCTTTTATTCATTTTATAATAAAGGCTAGACAGGCCCACTGTACTATCAGGCAAGTCTGCATTGGCATACATTTCTAACATGAAGAACAGACAGGACAGTGACTATTCTTTTGATGCAAAGACACATTTTAAAGAGGTGCAACACTTTCCACGATTAGCATAGAGTGCTGCAAAGAGCCTTAAGGATTCTGCAGCCACAGGAAGTTTCTGGTACTTATTACGACAAGCATCCCATTTAATAATTTTTTTAAACTTTATTCTAATATACATTTAATAATGCAAATGTACACATCACGTTAAACCCTTACACCCCTTGGTAACCTAAGTTAACACATGCTACCTTATACATGCAGTTCCATAAAAATGATCCCCTTTTGACAGCTATTCATACAAGCTGGAGTAATTAAGGCCCCACTCTTTGACGGGCAGTGAATAAGAAATTTAAAAATTATTAATAGACATTCTCAGCTTCTACATCATAAACTGCACAAGTCTAGACAGTCTTGTCTAGTTAGACAAGACCAGGCAACTTTTAATTTGGGACTCTTTCTGAGAGATGTCTATAAAGAAAATCTGAATAGTCCATAGTGCAAATTACTACCTCATAAACTGCAGCATAATAACACTTTTCCTTATGGATCTTCTTTATGAGGAAATTTATATTTCTGTAGTATAATAATAATAATAATAATAATAATAATAATAATAATGCATTTTATTTTACACTTATGAGGATGATATTGCACTTAATGGAAAATGCTTTACTGAGTAGTAATGTCTTTAAGCAAGCCTGTGTTATAAGCAAATTTTATTTTCTTGAGTCTCCCTGAATCTTCACACAATTCTTAAATATTAACTAAAATTCCTTGGTTTCAAATTAAACAGTACTCATATTTAGTGTATTTTTAAAAATTAAACAAATTGGCCAACACACCATAATACTATAACCAATCTGTATACCCCTTTCTAATTTTGAGGCTAGTAATTATCTGCAAATTTAGTATTAAGCAACCACAGGGGTATACAGAATTTAGTAAAACACTTTGTGATTACAGGGTCAAAGAGGTGTGGATAGACAGTGTGAAATAGAGGCGGTGTTTCTTTTAAAATGGTTGAATGTAAAAAATCCCGCAGGACTCCTAACATATTAATAAATTAGAAAGGCTAACAGGGATTTTTTTAGAATTGCCATACACTATTAAATCCTCAATAATACCTAGCATTTATATAGAACTTCACATTTTTAAAGTGCTATACAAATACTATCTGGATGAAATGTATTCTCCAGAGGCAGAATACAAATCCAAAGTGAAAGGTGATCAAATGAATGGCACCATAACAGTAAAATGTAATGTAATTACTACAGAGAGAAAATAAGTACTTTATAATCAGCTCGCTATGCATGAACTATCATGGAAGATCACACACTGTACAAGGGAAATGTAGAGATATAAAATTATTATCATTCATTAAATAGGTTCTGTGACCACAAGAGCAGTAACTGGCTCCACAACTTTAAAATGCCGAATTCAGAAGGTGTAGGAAACACAAGGAAACCCTTCAGTGACAGACAGGCAGGTTATTTCAAGTGCTTGCACAAACCACCTTGAAAAGCCATTATTCCTATACATCAATGCGGATTCCGTGTTTTATGGACATTAATTCTCTAGTGCCCGTTAAATACATAATAAATGAACACAGATGAGGTAAAGATGCTGTAATTGCCACATACAGCCAATATGGCAAGGGAGGAGTTTTTCCAAACGGGCAGATCCAGAGGCCATGACGAATCCCATCACGGACATGATGAGAAGTCCAGGATATGAACAACATCCAGGGAAGAAAGCACCATGAGTCCTTAAGCCTGAAAAGCTGCATGATAAACTTTAATGTCAGAGCCACCACAGGAATCACAGTAGAACAATGAAGAAGTGGTCTCCGTGGAAGAGTCAGAGCAGCCTGCAGAAGAGAAAAATATTACTGCCAATGGCTACAACTGTGACAAGAGAAGAAAAGTTTCATGAGTGTTTACAAGTGCATTGTCAGGTGACTAAACGGAAGCAGAAAGAAAAACATACTGTTCCTTTCCACTGCAATAATTTAAAACCAATTTTATGCACAAGAGTTGTGTGCTGCCCTGTCTCTACTGTATGATATGAATCATGCATCCTACTAAGTACTATCATCAGCAAAACAGGGAGGGAGAGGGATGAGGAATCCTGTTTGCCACACAGTCAGGTGGAACACGGGAACCTGTATTATCTGCCGCACTGATTATATGTCTTTAATTTCAAGACAATTAAAAGGAAAACAACCATGCAATACACTTGAAATATTTAGTATGTTTTACTTGAAATAAATAATATGCTTTAATGGCATTTACTCCCAAAAATACATCCTGTATTTTACTATAGTTGTCACCTGTAAAGTTGGTTTAGTTGCACAGTGTTTAAAACACCAAAATAATTTTCAATAGGACAAAAATATGAGCAAAGTTACATGTATTTTGATACCTTGAGACAGTATTCTTCATGGACAGGCAAAAAAAAGTTCATGAACGAAGATCTGAAACATTTGTGAGTGGGATTTTTGTGTCAACAACTTGTTTAACAATAACTCAGCTGAAAGCCTGATATTTGGTTTTAATATTGGTGAAGCCTGATATTTGGTGAATGTCTAGGTATTGAGATTAGATTTAGCCATTTTAAGAAGTGATAATGTCAATTTAACATACATATTTGAGGAGATATTCTGAGGGTGTACTCAGTAGCAACAGCAACAATAAAAAAACTGTAATGGTATTTTGGATTATTACTTCACAAATAAGTAGATTCTTGTGTCTGTAAACACAGGAGAAACAACAGCACACTACCAGAAGGACTACAGAAGTGCTGATGTGATATTCATTGGCTCAATTCAGTTGCTGGGGGAAAACTCAGAAAACCTGGAACAAGGCCCCAGAGATGTTAAGCAAAAGTGTATCTTTGCTGTGTTGAACACATCCCTCACTGCACCTAGTGCAGAAGGCAAACAAAGCCATCTCTAACCTGTTCAATCTTCAGTTGTGTTAATCCTTGCAGGATGCAACAGGAAGAGGGCCTGGGAGTGGGACTCTGGAATGGGTTCATCAAGCTCAGGCATAACTTAGATAACTGCATGGAACACTACCTTCTCTGCAAGGAAGCTCTGATGTACCCTTACCCAGTTTATTAACTGATTAGAGATGGGAAGTTACAGGCTACCCTGAAATAAAACAGCTCATGTTTTAAATCATAGTCAACCATAGAAGGCCTGCAGAAAGCTTTGTTCTAGTAGCTTCCCACCACACACTTGTCCTTGACTCCTGATCAGGTAATGGGATTTAAAAGCTCACAAACTGTCTCAACAATTTTTAACTCTAATGTTGTGGACGCAATTCCTTTAAGTTGGAGCAAAAGGTATATTTTCTTCAACTTCAGTTCTGCTTCACACAAGCAGATTGTTCATGGATTAAGGCAGAAAAATCTTGTGATGGTGAAATTGTTTATCACTTGCCTTACAAAGAGTCCAATTTTTGTTACTGTCAACAAAAGGCTCAAAAGTACATACTAACTTAATTTTGAAAAAACCTGAATGTTTCTGCAGATAATCTATTGACTGGCCTATATTTCTGCACTTTGGAAAAAAACAGTAGTACAGTCTTTAATCAGTCTCTTCCCTCTGGCCTATTAAGGTTAGGTGCCAACTGCACACAGTGAGTAAGGAAAATTTTAATGATACTTAGGTACACAGTTTATCAGTACTGGTGCCAAGGTGATGCTTACATTCTTTTCACATAAATTTCAGATGGCAGGGTTGTTCATATAGCAAACCTGAGTGTTCAATGTCAGCAAGAGAAAGTCCTATTCTGTAACTGCAGTACAGCCATCAAGCTTCTGATATGCTGTTGCCCAAGGCCTGAGAGAACAGTCTGTTTCCTCTTTTACATTCTGTGACTAAAGGAACACTTACATCCTTGAGTTGCCAAGCCCTGGACACAGACAGGTAGGTCCATTTGCTGATTTAAGCTGCTATACTCTCTTTCTCCTAACAGGAAAACTTGTTTGCCTTTAGAAAGCACCAGATCTTTAAAAAACCCGCCAAAACACAAAAACCAAAAAAACCCCACCAACAACGAAAAAAACAACAAAAAAAAAAACCCACTGCAAAACACAGAAAAACCCCCTTTTCTGCCTTAGACCTCTTGGAAAAAGTTGCAAACAGAATTTATTTACAAATGACCTTTTCCATTTGCCTACATATGCAATCAGATGCAAGATCATCTTGCAGTTGCTGCTCCTCCAGCCCCTCTAACTACAATGAGCAGCTGGAGACAGGATACAATAATTGCATGCAGGAGAACCCACGCAAATTATCTGCTTTAATGCTCACGGCAACACCATGGATGTTATGTAATAACAGATGCTCCCTCACTGATATTCTGTAGTGCTTCACAACCCTGAAGTCTTTAGTTCATAGTAACATATTCAATGTAACATAAAGTAGTAATATTAACAACATAGTATGATATTCAATGCTACATCAACTGTGCTTGCGCAAAGGTTATTCTCAAGTTCCAGAAATGCTCCTGTACAGCCCGGGTCAGTCATGGGCGGCACATTTCCCAGCCAGTGTTATGTATGTTTGCCACCAACTGAACGTTCTACACTTCCAAAATCTGGTGACACCAAGACAGCAATTTCTGCATGTCTGTTCTGCAACGTCAGCATCTGGGCTACAATCCTGGTGGAGTCTGGGAGCAGCCCATCATGTCATACCAGCACTCCTGACTGACAACAGGCTGCTGGAACTACCATCTTTGGAGTAGTCAGCGAGACAGATTCTTCTATACTTGTGTGCACAGTAAAAACCACATGGAGCACAAAGAACTACAAATTCCAAGTAGTGGAGTCATTGTAGACTATCATACTCGTTGCAAAAATAATGTGGGCAAAAGGTCAGATCACATGGTACTTGGTACACAAGTATTTATCAAAGCAAACATACAAATACCACAGGTGACTATTTACCCTGAATACTGCAGAAAAATAATGATGACCATGAAAAACAGACCAATGACCAAACAATGCAGGTGCTGAATGGCGTCAGCAAGAACAGAAGTAGGTGACTAGAGTGGTGTGAAGGTAGCAATTGGAGGTGGAAGGCAGTACCGCCTTGTGCCGCACAGAAAGGTTACTCCAGAAAAAATAACTCGTCATCAGATTTAAAAGTGATGATGATGATGAGCTTTATAGGTGATTGTGTACAGTAACGTGAAATATACTATTGGTACAAATTAGTAATAATGGTGTGGTTGGTTAATTATATGAATTAATTTATTAGTTATTTAGTAATGTGTTGCAAAAGCAGTAAACATGTTAGTATCTTAAAGCAGTTACTCTCAACCATGCAATTTAAAGACAAAGAATGGGACTGTAACTACAAAATATGTAGTAAAAAAGTATCCCATGAAGTGATAAATTATATAAGTGACTGCCTGAAATTATGCCAAGAAACTGACAAGCACATCATAAAAAGCCAAGGAAAGAAAAATTACATATTACAATCAGATCTAGCTGGCTAGACAGCACACAGAAGAAAAGTTTATGGGGATTATGTTACATCACAAACCAAAGAGACTCTGATGGCACTGTAAGAAGACAAAACCTGTAACAGATTATTATTCTTTTTTTAAAGGACAGAAGGATTGTAGTTTTCTGCCACTGAAAGGAATTAAACTACAGTATTTGGCTCAAATGAAGTCTCACCTAAAATACTACTCATGGTTTTGGACAGGACCCTTTAGAGGTAATTTAGGCAAAAAAGCCATAGATAGGAGAGGAGAAAAATAGTGTGAGGTTTAGAAAACACAAACTTGTTTCCTTAAGATTTTTTTTTGAAAGTTATTTAGTTGAGAAGATAGTCTTTGCAAAGCATAGGGGCTTTGCAAGTTGTAATGAGAGTTGAGAGACCTACACCAGATTATTTCCTTTATTAGCCCAGTTAACATATGGAAAGCAAAGGAGTTGGTAGGCAAATCACTGAAAAAGCCTTTGGGCATCTTGTCTTTTCCTCCTCTCAGCTAAATACATTTGGCTACTAAAATGCAATGTTTCGTGTTTCTGATTTGAAAAAAATTTTGGAGGAGATCACAGAAATCAGCTGTCTTTTGCAAAAAAAAAAAAACCTTTTAAGAACAAGAGACCTAGATCTAACTGTCATCAACAATTAGAAAATTAATTGCTATCTGCTTGGGAACTGAAACAACACAGGAAGAAATTAGGTCACAAAATTACAAAAATTTACTTGGTTTCACATAGTAGGGATAGGCTATGCTACAGAAACATTCCCCATCAAGGAAGGTGTAAGTATATTTAACCTTGCCTCACTACCAAGTGGCAAGTCACCTCCCAATTCCGTAACAAAATTCAAGTCAGCGTCTTAAACTCACATCGGTGAAGTGTGACATCTAGTGGTCATAATTAAGAAAAATACTGGTAATCATCTCAAATGCATGAAAAAGCAGCAATAAAATTTTAATACTTTCTAACAGCTAGCCATTCATTTACTTGCATTCACTGATTTTAAAATAAGAAAAAACAGATGAGACTAATTTGAGATTTAAATTCTATTCCATATTGTTATTCAGTAGTAACATTATGCAATACATTAACCAACCAAGCTAACTTTCCTTTTCTTTACTTAGTTTTGTAATTGCACAGTATTTCCACATGCAGAAAGTACAGAAAAGGGGAGAACCAGGGACTACTCCGGGAAGAATGATGCCAGGCACCAGAACATGCTGGAGCCTGACTGTCCATGTGGCAAGATGGTGGGTCAGTGGTATCCTGGACTGCACTGGGAATGTGGCCAGCAGGTTCAGGGACCCAATTCTTCCCTTTCCCCTCAGCACTGGTAAAGCCAAGAGGGGAAAACTGACCAAACACGCAAATAAGAGGCATCTTTTCTCTACAATAAATAGTGACACTGTATGGAAACAAAAACTATTTTTCCACTGTAAATCTGATTTTTACATCTCAACTAAAAGCAGTATTTGCCTCTTGCAGTTAGCTCTCACTTAAATATTTTTTAAAAATGGGTAAACCATTGTTCTTCTTTACCTACATGTTTATAAAAAAGAGGGGTTCCTTCTTCCTTCCTCCCTCCCTCCCTGGCTTTTACCTATTTCCCTATGAACAGTTAGCTATTCCCTATGAACTTAATAATACTATGAGCAAACTAGAGGAGGAAAACTTCTGGAAAAGAGTGCCATAATCTGGTAATACTAATGCTATTGAGAAACTCTGTTCTAACAAGCAGGTCTGCAAATAGACAATGATCCATTAACAGGAGCCAATTCACCGTTTTACATTTATTAAGCTGATGCTTGCTTACCTACTATTTTTTGGATTGTTTTTTTTTCCTCCAATGAACTATATTTAAATACAACTCAAACTGCCTTTTTAAAGGTGACAGCTCACATATAGCTTGTTCGTGGGAGAAATATTTAGGGCTGGCTAAAACAAATGTACTACTCATAATGACTGAATTAAATAAAACAGAAGCTCTATCATTTACGTTTCAGATATTTCTACTCCACATTTCACGTATTTCTAACCCTTACTGTAAAGTGAAGTGGAATAATCCACTTCATTGGCAAAAGTGTGCAGGCAGCACTTAACTCCTTAACAAGGCAACTATGTGATACATGTAGAATAGCATCTACATGCACAAAACTCTTTTTTTCCTTTCTAAACAGCAGAAACTGAACACTAGATGTAAAATATTTTTATGGCTTTTAAAATTGTAACAACTGCATAAAAACATTATTCCTGTATATCTATGAAATTTATTTAATTAAATTACCAGTGGAACTTTTTTTGTCTAGGACATGGTAGAAGAACAGTAACGTAAACAGTGATAAATTAACAAATTACTGATCTACTGACTTACCTTTAATGACAGAGATCCAGCAAGAAAGAAGTGGTCCACATCAATGACAGAGGCAAGGAAGCCAGCCAGGGTGACCTCAGTGAAGTCACTTTTCTTCCTGAGTCCAATCACTATTGCCCAGGACCACATCCCCAGTATACCATGCACTGCATTATCAGATAAGGCTCTTAGCCAGTCATTTTGCTGAATGAAGGAAAACTGCAGGAGTCTGTCTGCTACAAAGCAGAATATCCCCAAACCTAGACTGGAAAGAACTGACGCTGTGCTGAAAGTCTGGAGAAGAGCGTGGGCCTTTTCAGTCTCGGATGCCATGACGAGAGCCATGTTGCAGCACACAAAATGTCATCAGGACACACACTGTGCATTGTCCCTCGTATCGTCAGTTGTTCTGTAAATGTCAGAGATCAGAAAGGAAAGTATTAAACAAAGAAAATCCATTTGCACAAAACATTTGTCACCACAGCTACAATTGGGCATTAAGACCCCAATTTCACTGTTTGCATTTAACATTCCCAGGGAATTTTTTATTTCAATTAGTCTATTGACTAGAACACTACAGCTTTGAATTAAAACACCTGCCTTTTTTTAACTAGAACCAGCACAAGTAACACAGAGAGCTCTAATTCCACTTACTGAAACCTTAAATATTACAAAATAACCTCAAACATCTCTGTGATAACTCACTGAATGTGTTTCAAGATTCCTTCTTATCTTAAATACATGATTTAACCCAATTAAATACTTTACACTATAATAACAAAAGAAGATTCAGTTTGGAAGATTCTTATGACTGATGCTCAAAATCCCAGCTTTCTCTATAAAACAACTGCTAAAACTGAGTTTTCAATGTATAATCCAAACCACTGCTTTAATTTACATTCTTTGTTAACATATGTAGTACTCCCCTGGTACCCTTTCCTGAGCAATGCCTTGTTTTATTTAGAGACTGGAACGTAGAATAAACCTTAAGAAAACCAAACCCACTAAATATCTTCTTTGTGTTTATTATTATTTATAATAAACACAAAGACAACAACCATTTAGTCAAGCAAAGTAATCAAAATCATTTCCTTATAGAGCAAAACTACCTAAGCTTTTCCTCAGGATGTGCTCCAGCAGAGAAGCTGGCTGTTACTTTCAGGATTTATCTACTGTCTGCCACCTTACCTTCATAACTCGTCTTTTTGCAAGAGAAGTTCTAACTGTCCCAGCTGTTATGCAAGTCTTTTTGGGAAGCTATACAGACATAACACAGTTTTAAAGCCTACATCCTGCCTAAAAATGGATACTTCCCATCAGTTCACCATTTTTGTGCAATACATTAAATCTTGACAACCCTTCTTTACTAGGTAAGTTCTTATTCTAAAGGGCCTTTTTGAGTGTATTAGACTTCCTAACATGACACATAACAATTTATGGTATTAAAGACACTATAAATCTCATATATAAATATCTATCTCAGACATAAAAATCTCAGATATAAATGTTTGTTCCAGATTATTTACATGCCTGTCTGGTGTAGAATTATTCACAAAACAGAACGACTGGCACTCTCTGTAGGAAAAGAAAAAGCCCACTGAATCATTTATTTAGAAAACATTTAAAAAAATAAAAGAGAAGAAAGCATGAATAATACATGGACTTTGCACAGACATCAAAAAGTGGGTCAAGTTTAGAGTCTGTTAACCATGACAGTACCTCTTCTGAATGAATGAGTAGACACAAAGTATTCCTGAAACAATGGAAGTGCTGTTTTCTGGTGGGCGGCTTTATGGTACACAGGACATGGCTGAACAAATTCCATGTTAAGGAAAAAAAAAATGGCAGTCTCCTCACAAATGTTTCTTCTATATGAGCCATCATGTCAGATTGGATTTCATTTAAAATTACCATAAAGGCTGTGTAAGAATACAATCTGTGAAGAGGTGATGTAGGAACATACCTTTAAAAAGCACACCGGTAATCAGAATCAAACCTCCCCTGGGAGTAGGAGAACATTTTTTTTTCCATCACAGGTGCCTTACTCCAGTAGGAAATGTCTGTGGCCTATGCCTCAGCATTGAGCCTCCGTGCTTTCTGAATCCAGTCTGCCCAGCCCAAACACCACTTGTTCCATCCTAAATAAAAACAAAACAGGTATCAGTAAGCAATTACTGATATTAGGCAAAACAGCATATATGAAATATGAACAACAGTAAAAAAATCCAGAAAGAATAAACATGTATTTAATTAATTTGTAAACAAATATAACTGAGGTAAAAGCAACTTCAGCTAAGCTTTGAAGCTCTGTGAAAGAAAGCAGAAAAAAACCCTAAACCAAGAGAAGAGCAGAAATAAAAAGAGAGCATTATAGTACCTAAAAAATAATAAAACAGAAAGTCCAGTCTTCTACCTAACTGTCAAAACCAAAACCAAGTCCAGTCTTCTACCTAACTGCATTTCAACAGACAGAGCAATCCCTTTTCATAGATTTCTTCTTGTGCCTAGAAGATTCCCACCTAATGAAACATTTATTAAGTCCCATTCAGGGATCTCTTTTTAACTTCCACCCCATCACTTCGTGACCCTGGAATAGACAAAGAGAGACCTAGAAATTCATACAGCAACAGAGGTCTGTGTCAGTTCTGGGTTAGGCTTACACTTGTGCTATGGGTGGTATTAGCATGTGTTCCTTGAGCCAGAATGAAAAACAGGATGCAAAACTGGCTTCAGGTTGACCATAGTCAAGAGCCATGTCCAACTGTTCTTTTTAAGCCGTTTCAGCCTCCTTTTAAGAAAAAAATGAGTGCCGCCTATGTAAAAATCAACTCACATTCCCAGGTACAACAGAATTTCCCAGAATTTTTCTGCAGATCAAGAGGGAAATCAGACCACAAAAAGCAAAACTCTGGAAAACCAAAATAATATCTGAAATTATAAATTTTAATGTAAAACTAGAACATTTCTTTCTCCCTGAAAAATGATGCTTTTCAGGCTCTTTACAAAATATCACAATAAAGTGTAGATTTTTCCAGTCTGTATATCTCACAAAGCAGCTGTTTAGCTCACATTTTTGCTAAAACAGAAAAGTGGGGAATAATTCACACGGAAATGTTTATAGACCTCTGTGTGGTCACTACAGTTAACACCCTGAAGGGAAGTTCTAGGTTGGTTTTATGTAACAGCTGACAGAGGAACCCAGCTTTGAGTTGTGGTTGCTCATGACATTTTTAAATGAGATAAGGCACTGAGCAGAATCGCTGTCTATAGGCTCAAAATGGAATTTTGTAGATATGCTTACTTTAATTTAAGGAAATTACCAAAATAATTTTAATGAACACACAGTTAACACTTTATACTACTGTCACAAGAAGTTATTTAGATCAAAACTGTATATACACTTTTGGGAAAACAGCTAAGAGGCTATGGTGTATGAGCAAAACAAAAATCAAATGGCTAAAATTATCACTTAGAAATATCGCTCTGCATAATTTTTGCTCCAGTTTTGCATGACGCTATTAGATACACGAATACCTATAGGAATTTAATGCATGAAGTTACAGAATCACACAATCAATTAGGTTGGGCAAGACATCTGAGATCATCTAGTCAACCTACAACCAGACAACACCCTGCCAACTAATAGAATTACGCATTCTACACAGGAAGTTAAAAGACTTGTAATCCCTCACAATTCTATAATCTCCTAAACCCCTCATTATTTGATATTGGCTGTTAATTTATGTTAAAAACCGCATGAAGCAGAATTAAGACACCAGCTCAAACCTTTAGCATACAATCGCGTGGAAAAGGAGATGCTAACCTAAGACTATCTGCGAAGAACTGACAGTGGCAACATTTTTGGGTCAAATAATTATAACACATTATTGGAGTGATCATGCAAATATTTTTGGGCCAGATAATTACAATGCATCATTGCAGCGATCTGGCAAATATTTTTGGGCCAGATATAATTACAACGCATTTTTGGGGCTGAAGAGGGCAAAATCCCAGGAGGAAACGGTAGGATTTTACCAAGACGCCGAAGAACAAACTAAATTAAACCGAGCAGGAAATTAACCTGTGAACCCGAGATCAGCGGGAGCGTGAGGGGAGGCGCGGGCCTCGCAGCCGCCGCCGCCCGCCCCGCCCGCCCCGGAGCCCACCTGGAGCGCGGCCGCCGCCGTCCGCCCTTCGCCCCATGGGGCTCGGCCAGCCCGACCCCGGCCGGAGCGGGCGGGCAGCGCGGAGGCAGGGGGGCTGAAGAGCGCCCCGGGGAGCCGGTCAGGAAGCATGCGTGGCCGCGGAGCCAGCTGGGAGCCCGGCCCGCCTCCTCTCCGCCCATCCCCGCCGGCAGCGGCGCTGGTTGTGAGAGAGAAATGTTTCCTGGATTATTACATCGAGGGTTTGGTGTTCGCGCTTTGGCTCCTTTAAATGCTGGGAGGGAAATCGATGAGAGTTTAGTGTTTTGTCATTTAGGACATGGTGCGCCTCTGACAGACCACGGAGCAGAGTAGTATCTTCTGTCCTCAAATTAGTACTTATTTACACAAAGAGAGCACTATAGAAAGCATTTGGGAAACATTTTATTCAGTATTAAGACTTCTTGGTGTGAGCATCTGAACAAAAGCACGTTTTTACAGTGGAAACTTCCCATGTCCATTTCAGCAGCAATCCATCAATCAAGTTGATTCGAATATATATTCAAACATTAAAAGCAGCACTGTCAGGTCAGGCCTGATCTACTTATACAGCAGTGCTCCATTATCGCAACTGTTTTCTTTGCCTATACTAAATACAGCACTGGCGTTATTATTGATATTACACTGGCACCTGACAGACTTCACCAGGAATACACCGGCAGCCTGTCCCTCTGGCCTCAGCCTTCATTCCTGTCTCCCTGCAGAGCCTCCTCAGACACAGCTGGGACAGCTCCTGTGAGGACAGGGAACACAGGGCCTCACCTCCCAGAAGCGGCAAGCAGAGATTCAATATCCTTAATGACTTTAGAAGTTTTTTCCAAAGCCTCCGAGACACAATCCTCATTGAGTTCTTCTGTCTCACACCCATTTTCTTTTTGTCTGACAGTGACACCAGATGGATTGGATTTTGTGGCAGATGATCTTTTCAGAATGTTGCTACTGTCTAATAAAACTAGTGTTACTTTGTTAAGAGAAAAAATTCAGATTCTTCCTCCTAAAGAGCAAAATTGGTCTCTGCATTTGTATTCATCATTCTGCCTTGCAAAGTCTCACATTTGTAGCATGGTAATTACATACAGGTAAAAAAAGAAAAAGATTGTATTACTTAAAACATCTACAACATCAATAGAAAAACGTCTTTTAGACTTCAATTTATCCAAAAGTTACTTTGAAAAGAAAAAGGGTGTTACACTTCAGTTTAACAGCATGCACTTTTCATACTAATGGAATTGAACACTGGCTTAAAGACAGTTTTAGAGTGGCTTTAAGCAGATTCAGCACAGTGCACATATCCAGCTGGCTGAACACAATAGAACAATACTAAGGTAGCTGATAAACAGAAATATACTGTACTGCAACAACAAGCCCAAAGGCAACTGTGTTGTTCCTCTTTCAAGAACAGATCAGCAGATGACTCTTAGCAAAACTGATGCAATACACATTAAAGAGCTTTGTTTTCTGGCAACTTTTCATTTTTGTTTTGTACTTCAACACTGTTTTTAAGTTTTTTTTAATCTTTTCCACAAAATCAGTGATAAAACAAAAAAGATAAGTAAGAAAATGAGGGTTTTTAAGTAAGACAGTAGAAGAAGGTAAGCCCAGGATAGAGAGCCTTTGATGATCTAAAGTGCAGAGTTGAACATGCAGATAAACAGCAGAATATAAAAGTGAAAAAAATCTTTACAGCTTTTAAAAGGATACAATTAAATCTCTGTATTTTTTCAAGCTCAGCATCAGCAGACCTGTCCAAAAAAAGAAAGGTTATTTCTCAAGGACATTTTCTACTTCAGATTTTATTTTTTGACAGTTTCCAGCAATACTGAGAATTAGATTAGCAAAATCTCTGTCTTTGATACCACTGTTCAATGGCTGACATTTGTAAATCATTTTTGTTTCCAAAAATTTGGTCTCTGCTCTAAGAATAGTCTCTTTGCTGTAAGTATGTATAAATAGAGATAGAATTTTCATTTCAGCAGCTATAAAATGCTATAAATATAACATAGCTGATGCTATAAAATACATCAGCTGAATCTGCTATAATTTAAGTAACAAGTGCAATTATAATTGATTTCAGTTAGCACATTTTTAATATTCTAATGTTTGCAGATGATGTCAGTAGATTTTTGGTCAGTAAGTAGCAAGTGCAACTGCAATTGATTTCAATTAGCACATTTTTAATATCCCAATATGTTTAGAGATGATGTCAATAGATTTTTGGTCCGTAGTATCTATTAGAAAGGACAAATACATCAGCAAGAGAAACAACTGTCATTAGGCAGTTCAAAGTACTGTTTCAGATGCTTGATGTTCTGTTAAAAAACATCTTTCTTGGTCTGCTATCTTTCCACTGCAAGACACCATCTTTGTAACATTAACTGTGCTTTGACAAAGTTAACATAATTCTGATTTTTAAGACAGGCAAAGCACAACGAAACAACCTTCACCTGAAACTCACTGAACATTTTAAACACTGAATGAAAAATATGAAACCATATACAAAATAAATGGACTTTAAAAATAAATGTTCATTTTTGTCCATTAGGAAATGCAAGATATAAAATTCAGATTATAATATTTTTGAGTTTTGTTTTCAATGTTATTTAAGTCAATTATTTGGGATAAAGATGAATACCAATTTTCTTCAGTTATGGAGTGTACAGGATATTCAGCAATCTCCTTCCTTTCATTCAAACTTCTGCACCATTCTATTGCTGTTCTGATGTACCTGTGTTAATATGAAAATTCAAAAAAGTAGTTATTTATTTAAGAAATAAACTCCATTTTTGAGAGAAAAACTGAAGGCACTAAGGAACACACCTGGATCTGAAAGAAAAAGCTATGATTCAAAATGTATATTTTCCTCCTAGCTTGCCTTGCCATTTTTTGTCTAGAATCTTCTTCATATTTAGATCTATACAGTTATAGTAAACTAGAACAAAGCTGTATGTTTTACAATGAACAGTGTACAAGTGTCAATTTTTGTTTGTGAATATCTGCTTGCTAAAATGCAGCACAGAAAACTTCTGATGATTCCAATAATGAGGCTGTATTACAGCAAGCAGATTAGAAAACAATCTGTAGACAGAGGTCAATATCTGTAATAAAGCAAAAATAAGATAAACTACTGTTCAGTTCAGTTCTGTATATCAGCTCTATATAGGACAAATCCTTTTTTTTTTTTAATCCACTGTAGTAAATGCCAAGTTGTATCTCTAGTTATTTTTCTAAAAAGACATTGCCATAACAGTTATAATGGAATCACAGCATGCAGTGGCCCTGAGTCACACAGGTCTTGAATCTCCGCCAGAAATAAGATGGAGCTTTTATCATTACATGTTTGGTCCACCCCTACCAGTTTATCATCAGAAAATAGTGTTTCTTCATCTAAGAGGATCTATAAAGAGAAATTTTTATATTTAATTTTTTTAAATTGAACAACTAAATTAAATTACCTTTCATAAACTCCAGGATGACTTATTTGTATTAGCTGCTGTAGCCCATCAGGAGTAGTTAATTTACACCAGCCTACATCTTCATTTATCTTAGAAGAAAAAAAAACAAACTCAAATATTAATTTTCTGCTGCAGTCCAAAGGAAAAAAAAATCAAGTATAATATGCCAATTTAAGAATGAAATATCTATGAACAATCCACTTTAAAAACTTGCAAGTCTGTGATTTGCTAGGGATAGAATCTGCTGAAGCCTGCTATGACAATTGCAGGGGAAAAACACCTGGCACAGCCCCAACTCTTCCTTTGTGCTGTTCAAGAATAAATTATTTCTAGAAGTGTGTAAAAATGTCTCCAAACCTGTAGAATTCTCAAGTCTTTTGTGTTTTTGAATTTTATTGGCATCAGAACTTTTGTTTGGTATTCTCATTAATTTCCTAGAAACACTTTTTCATGGATAGTCCTTTCTCTAAGTCACATGTTACCTGGATCTCACTACAGGAAGAGCTGAAATCCCAAACCATAGTCAGGATCATCCTATCCCAAAAAACAGCATGGACTTTATGATCTGAGTACACAACCAGTCTTCCTGTGCTGGGAATAACCTTTTCATGCAGCAAAACTGGCAACATTTCTCGTCCATCAGTCTCAGACACCTAGAACCAAACAAATACATTAAAAACTTGAAAAAAGGCTATTTACATCATTACAACTGTCTGTATCTGTTCCAGATATTTTATTCACTTGTTTTTCCAGATCACAACCAGCTCTCTTCCTCATGCAATTGCTTCTTAAATATAACTTCTAAATGCATGCTTTTGGTTCCCAAATATCTGCCTTCCTGTCTGTGAGGATACACTCACCATTCTTCCCTCTAGATTAAGTCCTATTCCCTACAGTCTGTATAATCATCCTTATAACACTGCAAGATTTATAAATTTTCAGCTACATACCATTTTCCAGCAGCAGAGATAATAATTATGACTTAAGGACAGTTTTGTTTTGCAGCAATACTGAAGAATTCTGAGGAGATAAAAAAAAAACCCCAAAAAAGTATCAAACATTTAATTCCTATTGTGTCTTCTAAGCACTTGCAAACTTTGTTCTGTAAGTTTCAATATGCCCTCAGTGCTAAGATAACTTCCTTTAATTTTTATACTTAAAGTAATAAGCGTTTTGTGTAATTTTAACTCCTGTCCTTTCTAAGTCAGCAGAATTAATGTAACAAAAGTTACTTGTTTGCCTGAGTAATAATGGAGGATATTGAGTATGGATGTCCGGGCACATCTGGAGGTAGGCTGCTCACTGAATACATCTTTTCTTCCATCTGAGTAAAGAGCAGAAAGAAGATTAGTTAGTTACAGGTACTGTAGCATAAAAACAGAATTAAAAGCAAGTTATGAAATTTCTAACCTCCCAGAAGCCAACTATAATCACATTTAAATCTGCCACAGAACACAGACAAATATCTGATTGAAAATTGAAAATCCTTAAGCCTATGCCTGCATGAAGAAATATTCAAATATTCATTTTCTTTACAGTCAGTAAGAACCAGAAACTTTTCTTGTCAGAGAGTTGCCTACAGGTCATTACTGAGCAGCAATGTTTGACTACAAGTTAAAGGCTGGGTTCCAAGAGTACAAATTTGATCCTTAATTCTGCTTTAAAAATACAAGGTGTTGCATTAGCACTTGAGAGGACCTCTCCTCTGGGGTAACTTTACAGACAGGCACAAAGGCAAAATCCTTTTCCACTGAACAAATGGTCTGCAGCAAAGCCAGAACAAAACCTGCATCTTCTAGATTCTGTCTTCATACAGTAGTAAACACTTCCAAGTACAAAGAGATTAAACTCTAATCAATAACATTAGCTTCAAGACTAAACTTCAAAATTCATGAGAAATGGTTGTTGTAGAATCTTACTCTTGAGTTTGATAAAATAAATGTTACAATGAAGAAGAATTTTCTTATTGCATAAAATTTACAATACCTTCTGAAACAGAAGGAATAATCTCATCTTTTTGCATAACTAATGGCGTGATTAATGCATTATAGTAATTACCAGTGTAGGGACTTCACTACACACTGCATAGACAAATGTCTTAAGGCAGCTGCTAATTTGAAGGAATTTGAAACATCCTTTTAAGTAGTTCTAGTTTTTAAATAGTTTCATACCTTTTTTGTTCCTTTTTGGATTGCATAACGTACAAAATATTTTCCCAAAAATTCTCCCTCTGACTTGAAAAATGAGTCATCACCAGGATAAATTTCTATGATGTTTGTCCTACCATGGATAAATCTAAGAAAAATAATAAGATTTTTAGCAAGTACTTGAAATGCTGTGTCACTAGACAAGCAAAACAGGTTATTAAACCTGAAGAAAACAATAAGCAGAGACATATTTTCAGCAACTCAGATGTTAAAAATTTCTACTGTTTCACAAACAGTAGAATGTACCGATAATGTCTTTTAACACAGAATATTAATATTACTAGGCTCTTTGACATGTGCATGGGGGTGGAATTCTACTAAGCTAAAGAAAGCTTTTTTGTGTCAAGGTAAACATATTCAAGAGCTGCTCATTCCACAAAACACTGTGATCCTGTAAAGAAAAATCCAACCTTCTTAGAAGACCAGCCACATCTAGTGTACACAGGAAAATGCCAGACTGAACAATTCCTGAACAATCTAAAAGTCTTAATTGAGAAAAAAACTTCTGAAAAAACTCTGAAGTGCGGCTAAACATTTTGTTTAGATGAGATAAAAATTTTGGAATTACACTGAGGAAAAATTAAGAATACTCTGCAGAAAGATTAAAGGGCTAAACACCAGTGATGCTTTTGATGCTTTTATCAAAGACTTTTAAGCGCTAATAGCAGTTATAGCAATTTCAATTTGAAAGTCCTGTTGTTGGGTTTTTTTTGTTTGGGTTTTTTTTTTTCCTTAACCATATGGACAAGGTGACTTGCCAGGAAAATCCACAGCTGAATATGTGAATTATGTAGGTCACCAAGATAAACACTTCTAAGCTGTGAAGTCTTCAGCAGCAAGAGGAGAGAACTAATTTGCAAAGAAACCAAGTACCATTATTTTAAGTGAAATCTGTGGTAACTCCAGCTGTCCAGTAAACATTTAAGAAATCAGATTATCAGATCACTTAAACATGACTTCAGATTCAGGCCTGATAATATACTGTGCTTTAAGTCCAGTGAAAAAAAGCAGAAACAGACTTTGACATGAAGACTGTGCTCCATTTCTTAAAGAGCGAGAAAGGTACAAAGTAACACATTTCATCTTAGAGCTTAATTCCCATACAAATAAAGTCTTCCAGATAACAGATGACCTCTGTTACATACCTGTAGAAAACACCCTGGCACCACACAACTTGAATTAGCTGATGGAATGAATACTCCTCCGTATCTTCATTCTGAAAGAAGTCACAGAATGCCCACCTGTGTGTGTAAAATACAATGACAGCCTCACTAAGTCCATATATTGGTTGTTCTTTTGTTTGTGTTGTGTTTGCTGGTAATCACTTCTGTAACTGAAGTGTGCACACTTATTCAAATGATAAATTGACACATATTTTCAGAATCCTCCAATTCCTTAGTGATCCACTTCAGTTACCAAATTAAACTTCTCAATCATGCAAATGATTTTTTTTACTTAGTGATGGTGAGAGACAACATATGCCACTGGCCCACCTCAGAGATACTCTTTTCAAAACAAGAGGAAAAACCAACCCACCCCAATACAAAACCTGTGTTCTTTTTTCAATATTCTCTTTTTCATTTACATATTCATAAAGCATGTCAGAAAATATATTTTTTAATCTGAACTAATTACTATAGCTTCATTAGAGTAGGTTACAGAATGGTTTTACAAGGTCAAGTTTCAAGAAATTTCTAAAAGACCCAAAACTGAAAATAATTTTAAACTTTTTTTTATAGTTAGGATTAAATTATTTTGCTAGAAGTTGGGAATCCAAAATGCAGAATTGTAAAGCATATGATAACAACTACAAAGTAAAGAGTTTAAATTACCTGTGTAGATGTGGGGCTCTGCAGCTGAGTGGCAAAGCTGTGGGTAAACAAGACACTGTCTCATGTGTTTCAGGGTCTGCTAAAACATCACCTTCAACAGCTGTACAGCTGTTTGTCTCATATGTCTTTATTACATTCTCCACAGTATGTAAGTTACAGCATTTTAGTGCCAAGGACAAAGGGTATTTCCATTCTTCTGGGCACAAGGAAACAGACCAACGCTGTGTAACCCATGTGTATTCAGAAGAACAACTTGTGTGGAACAAAGGCACTCCATCTCCATCTTTTTGGTCCTTTGGTTTGGCTGGTTCCCTATACCTACCTTCAGCACAACCACAATTATTCCTATTCTCTATCCTTCTTTGTTTTGATGAGACTTCTGCAGCAGAATTTTTACTTGGTTTTCCACACTGATCTCCACTTTGATAGTTGCTGTTCTTTTCAGAGGAGCATGAGGATGCCGCAGATGACTGGCTGACTTTGCATAAGAACTCCACTGTAAATTCTTGCTGCAATTCTGACAAGTAAAGGTGAGCATAGCCATCTACAGATGAGATCTTCACACTGCCATTGTCTAAACATCTTGTCAGATCAGCTGTCACAGGGTCAGGCCATTTAATTTCTGAGATATCACTGAGAAGAATCTAATACAAGAAAAAGGATTGAAATATGCAGCAAGATAAAAATTACCTGCCTCCCAGAAATTCAATGAAGCATTTACATTTAAATTAATTCAGTCCTTCTGCAAGGTGATGAATGGCAAGAAATGTTGTTCTGTATTTACCTGCGTGTATGAGCTCAGAGGAAGCAAAACATCTAATCTTCATATCTGCTTCCTCCTGTATTAACAGAGCTCTATCTAGCAATAATGTTTTAATTTAATCCAGCCATAAATTACGTAAGGTACATGGGCAACTGATCAGGCACAATTGTACATGTTTGTGTTTCCATCGGCCTCTTCAGAAACAAGAGAGATAATGGTGAAATTATCTTGTTCAGAGCAATTATCTGATAAAGAATTGCAAAAGGACACTAAAAAATAACCAATGCCAGACAACAAGGCTGCAGGTAAAACTTCAGTTGAGATAAACGTAATGTTATCTCAATGAGGAAAGGCAATCCTAACTATTTATAGTTCTATATAGGAGGATGGGCTCTGAGCTGACTGCCACCAACCAGAATCCTGGTGTTGTAATTCTCAGTCCCATGAAAACACACTCAATGCTCACCTGCAATTTAATCAGTATGAAATGTTTGAAAGTTCTCGGAATGGAACAAGAGCAAACTAAACCTACCACTGAATACGTATTCACGGCCAACCTGCATTTTGAATACTAGCTGCAGTGGCCAAATGAGAGCCTAAGCACACCGCAGGAATGGGTTTTTTGAACTCAAGCATAAGGCTAGTAACACAGTCTAAGTGTTTTTGTGCCCATGAAGGTATTGTCATGGTAGTAACAGGCCTCAGGGCTTAGGTTACCTCTGCTAGGCCCTGGGCTGGCCTGTCAGGCTTGTTAACAATTTGTTATGGCAGCTGAAGCTTAGTAACTCTTACTTTATTATGGTGGACCACTGGAGTGTGGGAAACAGCAAGGGCCTTGAAAACACGGGCACTGTTTGATAACAGGCCACACAACAATAAAGTGACAGTAAATTGCTGGACAAGGACAATGTCAGGAGTTCTAAAAAGAGTATTTTGGCTTTATGAGAAGCAGTTTTTCTCAAAGTGAGGGGGAAGAAACCAAAGCAACAGAAAACGGGTGTGGGGGAGAAGCCAACAAATATGGTCAAGTGCTTGCTGTGGCCTAGGAAAACTATCCTTCAGTATTCTGAAGCAAGTTGACAAAACAGATGCTGCAAGTTAAAAACAGTCTAGAAACCCAGCCAATCTCCAAAAGAGCTAGATTGTTCAAGGCCTGAGAGAAGGTGGAACTTACTCCTCAGTGCTATGAGCAGAGCATCAGCTCTTTGCACTGGCTGCATGACTGGTAAGGACTGCTGTCTTTTAATTAAGTATATAGTGACACTGAGTGACAGTGCTTTAGGCAGCTAAACATTAGCATGAAGGGTGTTACTTCTGAAGGGTCAGTCTAAAAGCATTAAAACTCGCCTGATTAATCAGTTGTCTTAAGATTCCCACCACGCTGTGCAGACACTCATATTCAGTGGGAACCCAGAGAGATGCTGATCTGGAGCAAAGCTTCCAGAAATACCAAATTGGTCTCTACATGGATGTTCAGTCTGACCTGGACATTGTTCCATTCCTCCCACAGACCCCAGCACCATTTTCACAGGGGTTTTCCAATGGGGAGATCTGATAGCCTTGGAAAATACCATCCTGTTGCAGTGTGACCTCCCTGAGAAGTTTCTACTGCCAAAATAAAACAACACAAAAAAATCCTAGGTTTTACACTTGCTAAGTATAAACTAAGTTTTAGTATTTCTTTCTACAAAGGAAATGCATTAACAGAGGTCTAAGTAACAGTTAAAACTGTAATTTAAAACGGCAGTAATTTAAGAAAGATGACAACTCCATTAGCCAAACTGTATTCGATAGATCTTCACGGCCTGTACTCACACACAGGCATGTGAAATTAAATTAAATCCGCTGGATAAGTTTTTTTTATGAAAGCATTACTCGCCTAATGTGCAATCCCACCTTTTTTCTTTCTGGAGGTATAAGACGTGAAGGCAAGTACGGGCGAGAAGAAAACGCGTTCCGGAAATCTAGCGCTCGTAGAAGTTGTTCCTGTTTTAAGTGCAGAGAAAAATAAACCCTATTACGATTTTTTACATGCAGTGATAACATTTTATGCTGATTTTATACTTTTTGTGGAGGTGAGGCTATGAAACCCGCTCCGTTTTTTACAGAGACAAACAAGAACTCCTGTTGGGGCCGTGATCCCCGGGCCGGCCCGTTCCCGAGCAGGAAGGCAACTGCGGCACTGCCCAAGGGATGCTCCCCGGGACGGCGCAGGGACGAGGGATAGCGCTCCCGTCCCCAGAGGCACTGCCCACCGCATACCCGGTAGGCACTGACGACAAAAGCGACCCGCTGGCGGGTGGTCTCCGCCGGCTGGAGCGGGTGGGCGGCCGCGGGGAGCGCCGCTTCGTACAGATACTCAGAGCCGCAAGGAGACAGCAGCAAGCGGGACCCCCCCGCGTAGTGCACCTCCACCGAGTCGTCCCCGAACAGCACTATCAGCCTTTCCGCCTCCATCGCTCGGAGGCCGAGCAAGAACCGCGGGCGGCGCCCGGATCCAGGCGGTTGAAGCGGCCGCGCCGCCGCACGGCGGGAACAGCGGGGCGGGGCGACCGCCCGAACTCCGACCGAGCTCCGCTTGAACTCTGACCGAGCTCCGCTTGAACTCTGACCGAGCTCCGCCCGAACTCCTCCTGAGCTCCGCCCCAACTCTGACCGAGCGCCGCTCGAACTCCCCCACGAGCTCCGCTTGAACTTCCACCGGAGCTCCGCCCCCGAGCTCCCGCCGAGCTTCTCCTGATGTGCTGCCGACCTGATCTACTGCCGAGCTCCTCCCCAGCTCCCTCCGCCGGTGAGGTAACCGCGCCTTCCTGATCCCTCAGGCAAGATGAGCGCATTCCGTACGCACATCTGTAAAATAAGCTTGAGGGAACTGCTGACAGTGTCCTTGTACTTTTTTTTTTTCTTCTTAATAAATTTTAAAATAATTTTTTATTTGCTGAAAATGGCAGGGTGAGCCAACACACAGCTCTGTACCTAGAACTGGGCGGTAGCTTTATCTGAACAGAAAGGCCAAGACGCCAAAGGACTATTTTAACATGATGACTAGTTGCCTTTTTTGACTATTAAATACACCCTCCACCAATACTTAGAGTTTAATCAAAGCTGTTTTAAGTGGTTTGACAGTTCACAGCTGAGTGACAATTATTATCAACCCCTACTCCCAGCCCTTAGCAAATGGAGTTGACTATCCCCACTAGTCCATATGGTCTTTCTTAGCTCCCTGACCTGCTTAGGGAAGTACCTCAGATCGACTGACTGCATTCAGTACAACTTTCTGTTCTTGACAGCTGTTGTCTCAGCAGAGAGTAGATCCACACCCAGTCAAGTGGCTGCTGACATAGCCATGCATCATATTACCCTGATTCTATTCAGAATACCCCTTTTTAATGAGTATTTTTCTGTTCAGTAGTTGTCTGAAGCAAGTTTCAAAGTATATATTGGGATTATGAATGAGTATGAATATTATTATTTATGGATGATGCCTTGCATTTTGCTCACAATTTCGCTGCTTTGGTTAGAACCCTCAGCATAGGAACTGTGGAAGTAGGTGACACAGGCTGAAGTAGAGGTGGCAAATTAGCAGTTCAGGGTACAGTGTGGTATCTTCCCTGAGTTTTGGCTGGAAAGCCATTTTCTGTTCTGGTATCAACTAGATGATTTGGATAATTGGATGATTAGAACTATAATTCACTCAGAGAGAAGTTGCAAATTTCAGCTGTCAGTGAGTTGTGTGTAGTAGGAAGGAAAGGCAGAATGTGATAAGAAAATAATGTCCCAGTGGAAAATAAAGATTACTAGTACAAACCAGACTGAGTGTCACTAACATTCAGTGTCATAACAGATTATTCTATTGAAAAAAGAAAACAACCTAGCTATGTGCAGTTTGTGATACCACATGTGGCTGGGCCAGTCTTGCTTCTCTCTGGTGGTACAATTATTCTCAAACCCAACAGTTAAAACCCAGTGACCTCATCTGTTAAAAAAAAAAAAAAGCCAAAGGCCAGTAGCAAGAACTTCTTGGCAGATTTTAAAGGGAAATACTGAGAACAAGCTGCATTTCTGGATATGAAAATCACAGAACAGCAAAGCACATGCAAAGCAGCAATTCTTGCAGCTGATTTTGAAATTCCTTTAAACAAAAGTGTGATTTTCAAATACTAAACATTTTTGCTAAATCATAATAATTTGCCAAGAGTGGGAAATAGTGTGCATACTTTACTGATCTGCAAAGTCTGGGTCTCATGCTCAAATTTGAATGTGAAGCCTGTTTCTTTTCAGAACCAGTGCTAAAGAACCTTGCTTCACATCTCGCACAAATTTTGCTTTCCATACTTCTGTGCCTTCACTGATTTACCATTATGCCATTAAGAAAATACATATTTTAAAAAGCTGTACATTTGCAAGGCATTGTTCAGAAACCTGGAGATGAGAAACACTTTTACACAGTGCATGTGAAATTTGTAAATGCTAAAATTCAGGTGAAATAACCTTTAAACCTCTCGTGACTCATCTCTATTGTACACGGAACAATGGGTGATTAAGAGTGGGCAGACAAGCAGCAAAGGGGATCCTGACAGTGAGAAACCTACTGCTTTCTTTTGCTCACATTCACTAGCTTGTAGTGAAGTTCTTTGAGATTTAAGATAAGTGGGAAATACTTGAGTGTTTAATAAAAATATTATCCTGTTTTTTTAATGCAGCAGGACAGAGTTAAAACCAATTTTTCCCTGCTGCAGTAAAGACTGAAAGCACTTACAAAGTTCATATGTACAGACTATAAACTTCTACACTAGTTTGAATGAAAGTCTCACTTTATGATTTTTAATATTTTCAGTGGAGGAAAAACCTTGTATTGCAAACTTGACTTGAGCTGCTCCTGATTTTTTTACCCAATGATTTGGCATGCTTCTTATCTACTTATAAAATTACTGTTTCCACAAGCTGACAGTACATCTGGAGCTGACAGCTACCTGACAGAAAAAGACCACTCACCACAAATCATGCAAAACTAAAACATGTAAAATGCATGTCCCTTTGAGTCACTGTTACCTTACTGTAAAGCATATATGAATGCTTGTTCCTTGGGATTCTAAGTTCTGAATAAAACAAATTTCCACAAGACATCTGCTTGTAAAGCCAGCAGAAAGTCTGATCTGTATTTAGATTAAAAGTTTTGTATAAAAATTGTGCTCAACTTAGAGAATATGTATTTGAAAGTCATCTAATTTTCACATTTCTAGTTTCTGAATTTTAGTTTAAAGACTTTGGAATGCTAATACAGTCTTTATGAGCATACTGCATTTTGATACATTTTATTTTTCCAGCAAGAATCAAAAGATTATCGACTCTGCAATTGTGTACTTTCAAGAGAAAGGAGTGCTCAGTGAAGGAAAGATAAAAGAAGATAAAATATCATTTTTGTTTTAAAGCAAGAAGACAAGGTAGTGATATTATACCAAAGGAAATAAAGCTAGTTAAATTTTATTTTCCAAAACTCCAACCTAAATAAGTATGTTAAATAAACATCCAGAAAACAGCCACTGCTTACTCTACTAGCAGATGCACAACTTATTTAACCAAACAAATAACAGTGAAATATGATCAGAATTATTTACATGCATATTTACAATGCGTGTTCTTTAGAGTAGCTAACTGTTGGGAAATACTTGTGTTTGGTTTTGGTAATGATTTCTAATCAAGTCTAACCAGCAACAGGTAACAGGAAACACTTCAACTGAGTTTGGCAACAACAACAATGGACTATCCTAGGAAAACTAACATGATTATATGGAGTCAAAAAAAAGAGCAGTTGGTTTCACAATGTTAACATTTATGAAATATATGAATTTACTCCAACTACAAAATTAAATCAAACTACATAAAATTAGAAGAATAAAAGAAAGTTACAGGGGTTGGGAAAGGTTAGACATGTTAGATACATTACTAGAAAAAAAAGCAAAAGAAAAAAAGCACTGCACATACTCTTGAGAAGCATGGTTTAGAACATAACTGTATTACTATTGCCTTGAAGAACACAACAAATTACAGAATAGCTTTTTCTTGTAGATTTGAAAAGAAGCTTATCTGAACTAAAGATCTTGAAAGCATCTCACTTCCAAAATACTGCTTGCTTTTTCACATATCAACATGTAACATATTTATTCCAGGAAAAAAGAAAAGTCCAGACCTCACCCATGTGTGTTTTGAAAGAAGAAGAAAAAGGAAATGAACAAAACAAAACCTCATACACAAAACTTTCACAAGCCACTTTTCATGATTGTGATATACAGAAAAGAAATCTTCTTTCTTATTTGGATCATACTTTTCTTGGACGGGGAAGTGGAGGAAGTAAATGCAAGATATAGTGTATATGGTAAATAGGATGAGTAAATCCCAATATATACTAAAGCAAACAAGCAAGCAAATTCAGATCATTATTCTTTCCCTTTCTTCCTCAAGGGAAGTTTTATGGGACAGTTCCCCATTAAATTTTAATTTCAATTATAACTTTTAAATAATTTTTATTGCAGCCAAAACATTGTTCAAAAAACATTTTTCACAAAATAAACTATGATATATACACAACATTTTAAGTTACAGGGCATAAGTTTACATTTTTTGGCAGGTTCTGTTAAACAAAATGGAAATTGTGTAACTTTAGTACTTGGAGAAACTCAAGTTTCTCATTTTGGTACAAATGTTTTGTGTCCCCCTTCACTCTAACAATACCTAAAGTGGTTAAATAAACTAACATTAATACATAACATCTCACTGTTTTCTGTTATGTTCTGATTCTAGACAGAATTTTTCATATGCTTCTTCAATTTCTGGATCCATCTCATCATCAATCTCATCAAAATACCTGAGGGGGAGAAAAAAAATCACCAAAGGTTAACACCTTTACATACAGATTTACATACAGATTTTCAGAGCCAGCAGATTTTTAGAATTAGTGTAGATGTCAAGAATAAAACAAAGCTTTATAAATGACTGTTATTTATGACATTTTCCTAAAGGGAATGGAAAGGAAAAAAATAATGGATACTAGGAAAACAAATAAACAGAAACCTCAAAGCAGCACAGATTTGTTCAAATACCTACAGTGTTTGCCACCTTTTTAGATCATCTTATGCTGCCCAGTTTAAAAGACAGAAGTAGTTTCCAAGATGATAGAAAATTTAATAATGCATCTGTACTGATCCAATTACAAAAAACCATAATTAATAACATATTAGTGTAATTTTGATTGGTGAACATCCTAGTTCAAAGACAGAATACATTAATATAGAAACCCTGCATTCTGTTTGTTGATATGTGAAAGAAGGACATAGAAAATATGTAAGAAAGTTTTTTTGCTTCAAAGTGATGTGCACTGAGGAAGCAGACTACATATTTGTCATGTGTTCCTTTGTTCTTGTAGAAGTGTAGCCTTCAGAAGAAAGGGGCTTCACAAA